CCAGTGGCAACGGATCCCCCTGAGGTGTGTGGTAAGCTGTTCTGTGTGGGTGCTGGGATTGAACTCAGACCCTCTGCAGAATAATAAATGCTCCTCACCACAGAGCCATCTCTCTAGCCCTCAAAAATTCTTTTTTTACAGTTAAATTTTGGTAAGGTAACAATTCTGTACTTCAAGAATATTACAAGTGATGTTAGTAAACTTTATTTAAGCAACTAGCAAATGGCCAGTTGTGCCAGCCAGTGACTAGGACCCTTATCTGCCAGGGATCCTGTAATGATCCCAACAGGGAAGCGGGGTGTGGTGCATTGATGGTGATCAATGATTGCTCGCTCACTGGGTCATCAGCACTTACCGTGTTTAAGAAGAGTGAGCACTTTCAGAGTGGACACACCAAATGGAAATTAGTAGGAAATTTTTTCCCCCATTTTTTGAGACAGGATTTCTCTTTATGGCCCTGGCTGTCCTAGAACTTTCTCTGTAGACCAGGCTGGCCTCAAACTCAGAGATCCACCTGCCTCTGCCTCCTGAGTGCTGGGATTAAAGCATACACCACCACACCCAGCAGTAGTAAACTATAATGTAGTGGGATTTTTATATCTAAAGTTAATCTTATATTTCTAAGTACAGCATAATGAAAAAGGAACATGTTTGACTTGTCCTCTAACTTAAATATTTCAAAGTCAGTGAAATATTCTGTAATCTGCTTGGTATATTTTGATAAAAATAATACTTGTATCAACATTTTAATTTAATCATGACAGTTTGTGGTGGCTGATTTTTCATTAAAGTGTTTTAGTAAAAATCCACAAGGACCTTTTAAAATGCTATACTAACTTGTCATGGTGTCCTTTTCTGTTGTCAAGGGTTTAATGGGGTTTTTTGTTTTGGTTTTGGTTCTGGTTTTCTCTATCTGCTCTCCTACAGCTAATCCAGAGGCTGTCATACCAGTGTATATTTTCATTTTATGATTATGTTTAGAAGAAAGAGATACATTTTGTGTAAACAGTGGTACTTTCCTGTTGTAGATTGGACCAGATGTTTTCAGATGCCTTTAGTAAAGATCACCAACTCATTCAAGCAGACCCCAGACATAGTCTCTACCTTGCCTGTGCCCTCATCGTTAGAGGAAACGTACAGATTTCAGACCTTCGCAGAAATATTGAAAGGTTTGGTTTTTATTTTTAAGATAATTCATGTGTACGGTTTGGGACAGTACAGTGCATAGTAGTTAAGAAAGCCTTTGTCCAGTTATAGTAAAATGTGACCTTAGGTAAGTGGCTCCTTAAGTACAAAGCCTTATTTTTGTAAGCACTAACTGAAGTATAAGGTGCTTCATCATACTGTCACAGGATACTGCCAGTTTAAAGACAGGTGGCAGATTCCAAACAACACAGTTAGAACCATGCTTCTGCTGGTGTCCTTGTACTGCTGATGTGGACTGAGCTGCTGTAATGTGACATTTTTAGTACCTTAGTTCTTACCTTAGCGTTTTTGTATCTCAGATTAAAACCTGCTCTGCAATTTGTCTCCTGGAATCAAGAAGGCTGGAAGACTAGCCTGTGTTCAGTACCCCCCGTGGGTCACTCCCATTCATTATTAGCTTTAGCAAACAACACCTGTGTGAAGCCTACTTTCATGGAACTGAGAGAAAGGTTCATGAGGCTCTACAAGAAAAAGGTAACTGCACTTCCTTTGGCTAAGAGGTACTGGAAATCAGGGCTAACGTTGTCCAGCATATTTGTTACACTAGTTGTAACCAAAGAGAAGTTCACCTGTGCTACTTTAAATCTAAATGAGAAATTCCATGAATTCAAAGGATTTAGGCAATACACTAATTGTGTTTAAAAGAAATCATTTATTCTTCGACAGTTTCACAAATGTGTCTAATGTATTCTGATTATATTCTTCCCACACTGCCCCCCCCACTCCCTTTGTACCGCTTCTTCCCAACAAGTCCCCCTGGTTTCATTTCTTTCCTAGTGACTCACTGCGTTATTGGGGTTGCTTGCATGAGCACGAGTGTGGAGTTTCACTGATGCACGGGCAATTTACCAGTGGCTGCATCACTGAGCAAGAATGACTCGCCCCTCCCCAGCAAACATTAACTGCTAGTAGCTCTGCATGAGGGGTGGGGCCTCATTGGCCCCTCCCCAATCCATGTTACCCTGTTGGCAGGTGTAATTTTATGCAGATCTTGTGCAGGTAGCCACAGCTCCCATGAGTTCATGAGCACAGTGGCCATGCCATGTCCAGAACACGAGCTCACATCACTCCCTCCATATTCTGGCTCTTACAGGCTTTCTGCACTATCTTCTACTGTGTGCCCTGAGCCACTGTGAGGCCAAGGCTTAAGAGGAGGGATTCTATAGATGTCCCATTTATAGCTAAGTTCTCAATAGTTAATTATTCTCTGCATTTTGACTAGTTAGTCTCTGTATTGTCCACTGGAAGGGGGGAAAAAAGCCTTTGTGACCAACGTTGAGAGCGGCACTATTCTATGGATAGAAATACAAATGGACAGTTTTACAACATGTCCACTTAGCAGAACAATGGCAAAAGATTGTCCCTTACGTCCTAGGACCTCCTGAGTTGTGGGCTTTGGCCTGGGTTACAGCTCCAATGAAGGGAGCCTCAAATCCAATCAGAAATCGGTTGATTACCCCCATGTCAGTCATGCCACTCGTGTGCTTGTGGACACATCTTTAGGCACAATATTTCTTTGACCTAAGTTCCTGCTTCCAGTTTAGAGCTTAATGCTCTATATGTGTGGGGGTTTTTCTTAATTTATTTAATCTTTTGCTGTTTCCTACATACATAGCACCTACTTGGTCATATTTCCCCGTTATCCTCTCTTACTCCCCTCCAGCTGAACCCCATCCTTCTGTCTTCTTACTGCCTTCCTGTCTTTGTGTGTGTGTGTGTGTGTGTGTGTGTGTGTGTGTGTGTGTGTGTGTGTGTTCCCCCACTGTAATTAGTTAGGGTCCTTGAATGAGCATGGGAGGGGCTTTAACTTAAGCAAGACTACTTACAAGTGGGTTTACCACTGAGGACTGCCTCACCCCTTCCCCCGAAACCCTTAACTGCATGTAGCTCCCGGGAGGGATGGGTGAGGGACCTATAATTCTAACAGTATTTGCTCTACAGGGTAGCTGTGTGTCGTAGATTTCCCGAGATGGTAACGTTCAATGTTTCCATTGCAGGCTCACCTGCATCACTATCTGCACGTTGATGGGATGGAGGAAGGTGCTTTTGCAGATGCTCTGTCCTCCCTGTCAGCGCTCATACAGGAGTATAATGACCTGGATGCCACCAAGGGCGTGCCTGTGCAGGATGTGCCTCGGCTGAGCGTGGCCTTGTGAAAGAAGAAGCTGAAAGTGCGTTGTTACTGTGTTCTGATTCACACTGGTGTTTGTCCCCTTTCTCTTTCAGCATTCTCTGTGAGTCAGAAAGCCCAATTTGTTTTTCACAGTATCAGGAAGTATTTTATCTAAAACAATGGTTTCTATTTCGTTATAATTTTTTTATACCAATGTGTGGGATCACTTCTAGCAATTTGTCGAAATTAAGAGAGAGCCTGGCATGGTGGTACACACATATAATCCTAGTGTGTCTGACATGCAGGAGGACTGCGTGTTCAGGGCCAGCCTGGGCTATACAGTGAGAGCCACTGTAAAGAGTGGTTCCCATCACTTTGCTTTACTCATGGCTTCCTTCTGCAGACCTTTGCACACTGTGAACGCCTCAGGAAAGACTGTACATATCTTTTTATATTTATGCTTTATGTTTTCATACTCTGTTTAAGTGCTGGAAAAAGGAGGTCCTAGGAATGGAAGAACACGTGTATGATGTCTGAGGACTTGGGGGTAGTTTTTAATAAAACTGAAAAGACTGTTTTGCTCTTTGAGTAATAATATGTTTGTATTCAAGAGAATCACAACTTAGACATCCAGTCACTTTTAAAATGAAAAATTTAAAGGCAAATGTTTATCACATCACCATTTGCACACCGAGCAGAACATGCTAGGCTTGATATCGTCATTTGAATTTGGTAGTAAATGGTCTTTATCTATGGAAATTATTCCAGTCTCCATAATCTTTGGAATCTTTTATGTTTTTAGTTACAATTTATATTTCTGATCCATTGGTTGGTTTAATCCTTCAAGGAAATAATTTTTTGGGGAAAAATTCAAGAAAAAAATAATCTATTGTATGCTTTGTTTATTAATATTTTATGTTTCTTTCTTTTGCTAAATAAGTATTCTAATTTTGGTTTTATATTGGTAGTTTAGATTTTTTTATAGTATTTGGTATAAAAATTGCAATATACAGTTATTAACAGTAGTCACAGACATTCCATTTTCTCCTTCCTAGAAGAATCTTAACTGATATTCAGAACGTGGCAGTGAAGACTATAGATACATTTATAGTATCGTCTTTAAGAATCTAGCCAGGCAGTGGTGGCACATGCCTTTAATCCCAGCACTCGGGAGGCAGAGCCTCTCTGTGAGTTCGAGGAAAGCCTGAGTTCCAGGACAGGCACCAAGACTACACAGAGAAACCCTGCCTTGGAAAACCAAAAATAAATAAATAAAGAATCTTGCTTTCCTTCTAATTATCATGTGATGGATCTGATAGACTACATTGCCAAGTGCAGGATAAAATTTAAATTATGTCTTTCTATATCTATAGAAAATGTTTCCTTATAAATTGTTTCTTTTCCCATTATATGTGAAATCCTTATATGGTATCATCTGTGTATATTACATAATTATAGGGATATGCTCAAGAAATGAGTTGTATTTAAAATTTTTCAGGCATTCATTTTTGTTTTATTAGAATATTTTTTAGAAACTTCTGATGTCACAAATATAGCAACTGAAGAATGACTCGTTCTTTCTGTTTTAAATCCATTAAATAAAATTTTCAACCTTTTATAGTCACTCTAGTTTTTTGATTCTATGACATGAATGACTTGGCCTTCAACTTTCCTGCCTGTGTTTGGCTCTATAGAATCCTGAGCTCAGAAAATATATCTCCTGGTTCTCTGCAGTCTCTCTGACACACACAGGATGTGACCCAGAGCATCCGCCACTGAAATGACCCTTCACTGGGGCAGTCAAACTGGACCGTAATCATTTTAGACTTGTTGGGGACACAGCATCTCTTGTCCAGGCACAGCCCACAGAAAGTGGGTCTGTAACTCTGCGTACTTGAGCATCCAGAAAAGACAAACTTTTCAGCTTTGGAGAGCTGGAAAGTGGGTTGACAGGTTTTTCCTCTGGGGATCTGAAAAGATAATAAAGTTACAAAGTCATTCTTTGAATTGTCTTACACTAACTTAAGAATTTTATGACAGATCCTAGATACAGTTCTTTCTTGGGCACTAATAGTAGTAGTTGTTTGTGACAGCTAAGGATCTCTTCTCTGTAAATACGTGAGTTTGAGGCCAGCATGGACTACATAGTGAGTTCCAGGACAGTATAGAGAGACCTCGTCTCCAAAACTGAGGAAATAAAAAGATAATTCTCTTGCCTCAGTCAAAAAATCAGAGCAGCTCTACAATGTTGTGCCCGCTGTAGGGTAACATGTTCTTTGGTAAGTTTACTCTAAAGTGTGCAGAGCATTGTAGTGTGATCCTCCTCCAAGCCAGACAGTCATGTAACTATGATCAGAACATCTGTTTTCATAGCTATAGTATAACAACCGGAACTCTATGTTCAATACTGTGGTTCCACTTCTACAATTAGTATAAACAAGAAAAAAGTTAGAATCCAAGAAGTATCTATTCTAAAGGAACGGTATGCATGGTGGGTTACAAGAAACTGGGCTACTCAAGACCCATATTTTTTGTTTGGTGGGCTTTTTTTGTTTGTTTGTTTTTTGAGACAGGGTTTCTCTGTGTAGCCCTGGCTGTTCTGGAACTTGAGCTCAGACCAGGCTGGCCTTGAACTCAGAGATCCGCCTGCCTCTCACTCCCTCCAGGCTGGGATTAAAGGAGCGCACCACCACCGCCCAGCAAGACCCACATTATTAAACTGACAGAACACCTACAATCAGCAGGTTAACATCACTGCTATATAAAATTTTCCTGCAGAGTTGAGCTAGATCAACACCTGTTGTCCTCTGAGACAATTTGACTTGAAGAGTAGTCACAGTGAGGTGGTTTGTTTGATGAGCTCCGAATACTATCCCTCCCTCCAGAATGTATATACATATTTACTCTTCAGGAACTTCTTAACACTGATGCATAATTCAGTTGAATCTGTTTACACTTTACCTTCACGGCCTTTGATATATTACTGTTGCAGGGTTGAATATAGCATAGCCTCTTCTCTCTTCTCATTTCACAGTTGCTGTTTTCATTGGTTACCCTGTTAGAAATCCCCATTCCACATGTTCTGGAGCAGGGAGTCCACTCTGTTGCTTGCACAAGGCATTTTTTTTTCCAAGTAAGTGGAAGGTTCCTGTAAGCTAACATAAATGGGGGAGTGCGTATGTGTGTACATATGTACTTAACCTGGATTTAATTTTTAAACATAAAGTCGGTATCTAAAAGTTGTAAGGCTTTTTGCATGAAAGTATAAGTGCTTACGTTCTAAGTCACCATTTCCTTCCTGGTCCCTAAGTTCCTTTCTGTCAAGTGGGCTGTGTAGTTTCCTAGGGAATAAAGACTCTTTATCTTCACCCACTGATGGCATTCTGACACGTCTATCTGACATGTCTATTCTGACACCAGTATCAGACTGGTTCCGATCAGTACCTGTCTTTTGTTTGCTTTTGCCTGATATTTCCAGCAGATACCAAAGTAAATGTTGGTAGGATTAAGGAATTCGGGACATTAATCAGAATAGTGTAGGTTTTCTTTCCTCAAGACATGGTTTTACTGTGAAGCTCAGACTGCCCACTAACTTGCAATCCTTCTGTCTTCCAAGCACTAGGAATATAGGCTCCATATCTGTATCACCATGACTGATGTAATAGTATGATCTTAGTATTTAAATTTCATGATATGTTAAAAATCTAAAATAAAATCATATTTAAGAATGAGACAAGGAAATCAGTCTCTTCTGCTTTAAAATCTTAGAAAATCTTAGTCAGGGTGAGGCCCATAGGTCTCAAGTGTGTACATGGAGGTCAGGACAACTCGATATCATCAGTTCTGTCCCTGCCGCTTTGTGTGGAGCTCAAATTCGGGTCACCAGACTTGCACAGCAAATGTATAACAAACTGAATCAATAACACACTGCACTAAATTAGGTTATATATAAATCATTGCAAATGCCTGTCTCATTCCCTGTTGTCAGGCCTACAGTTCTCTCTGTAAGCTAGCTACATAAAACCACCTGTGAAATACTTAGGCAGTGCAACTGTGGATGAACTCCGAATGGAGAAATGGAACCCCTTCACTGCCTATTGCTTAGAAGAAACAGGAAAAAAGATAATTCTTCCATAATAATTTTCCATGAAAAAACATTAGGAGATTGTTACTGTACTCAAGTGAAACAGACCTCTTGGTTCATAGTAAGTAAACAGCATAGACTTGTTACCTCAAGGCATTTCTCTAAAGTTGTACATCGTGGGAGCCCACAGAGCTTTCCTAGTGAGATCTGAGCTTGCTTTACCTAGCAGGGCTGAATAAGGGGATGGGTTAACCACATGTATGGTTACCAGGTGTTGGGAAGGGTCTGCACTTGAATGTGTGGTGTGCTTTGATCTAGCAAGGGGGAGGTCTTTTGCCTTGCGCCTTGACATTCCTTTAAAAAACCTCTAGAAGAGACAGAAGGGGCCAGTGGATTTTGATCCAGGTCCTCCTGAGGCTATCCTATGCTTCTGTCGGTCTCATCTCCACTGTCTATCTACTAATGCCTTATACCTTTTTCCTCCTCATAGGAACCCTGTAAAAGATGAAGTAGGCCCCCCACAAATGGTGCCAGAACTAGGGACTTGGGTGCAGAGGAAGTTAAGTGAGAGTAGGGAAGGACCCCCACGGAAGCAGTTGGACATGTCTGGTTTTATAGTGAAGAATAAGGGCAGTGGTATTTTATTTGGGAGCTATAACTGTAAATATAAAGCAGTATAGAAATAGGCTGCAGTGAGTACCTCTCTTTGTCTAGGTTTTTCATTCTCTCAATTTCTATTAAATAAAAATATAGTTTTAAGTATAGTAATATAGTATAGGAAAAAACTTAGGGTAAGGTAGAATATAAGAATATAAGTATAGGGAAAAAACTTAGAAAAGCAATGAGACAGAGGACCTGTGTTCTTGGAACTGAACACAGACTCCTGGGCAAGAATTGTGGTTGAAATGCAAAAAATATTATGAGGAATATGGGCCAGAAAAGATTCCCATAGAAGCTTTTAGCCTGTGTGTGTTGATTTAGGACAGTTTAGATCTAAGCCCTGAGAAGCATTGGGTAATTTTCCCTGAGGTTGACGTGGGAGAGACAAAAACCTCCGCTCTACCAGCAGTGCCTGAGAACACTTTTACAGCATTGTACCATCAGAATCAGTTTCCTCTTGGCAAAAGCTGACTTTAGGGAATAGAAGTCTTGGGGGAAATCTAGTAATTTCTCTCTAAAAAACTGAAAGTTTTTCAGGTCTTTCCTTCTCAGATCTCTTTTCTTCTTGTATGGGCAAAATTAGATTCACCTGGAAATAACATCTATCAGAAAGAGACGGTCAGCTGTAATTGCCCTAGAAAAAATAAAAAACCTCTTGGAATATGGTAACCCTCTCTGCTAGTCCTGTCTCCCCTTCAAGCCAGTATTTTTTTAAAGCAGCTTTAAAAAATTAAGAAGGGGGAAAATTGTCTGAGAGTTTGGTGATGAATGTGGAACAGAGGAATGTCAGCTCCAATGACATGTGAGGAGCCTTTAAGAAAGATGGTTCCTAATAGCTGCACAAGAAATTTTTTCTGAAAGCTTTACAGAAGCTCAATACAGCAATTCTACCCTCACCCTGAGGTGAGGCTTCTGGGTAGAACGAACTGGAAGTGCTGCTGTAACTGAGTGAAGTTTCAGCAATGTTTGTTTGAATTGTGGCACTCAGGGAAGCTGCAGTGAGTTTGGGTGACAGGACAGCCCCCAGATGGCAGCTGCTGTGCACATGTCTGCCAATTTCAGAATGGCTGGAAGGGCCAGCAGGAAAGGTGGCTTTGGGGAGTGGCGTCATTCCAAGTGTTACAGCCCTCTAGCAACAGCAGTCACCAAATCCTAGGGTCGAAGGAGATGGATATGACTCTAGAGCCACTGACAAATTAGGCTCTGGTTTCCAACTGTCAGGGAAACTTTATGGATGTTATCAAAACTGACTGTGAACTTCAGAAATGAAGCAGTTTTGAGTTTACCTGCAATTTTAACTGGTGATTCTTGATTCATGTACTCCATCTTGTTGGAAGAAAATGTAAATAGTTCTACTAAGAGATGTTTTAGATGTTTGCTAAAGTTTACAAGGTAATCCTATAGAGAGTATGCTTTTGAATATAAGTTTGTAAGAAGTGTAAATACATATACTAAATAGTCATGCTAGTTGTAAATATGTATAGTATGCTCAAACTAGAATTATGTTGACCTTAATGAACCAGGGTTTGGTGAAGCTAAGGGCCTCTAAGCTTTAAGTTTGATGCAGTTTATTTGATGCAGTTTACATCGAGAGTTTATTGATTTTAAAAAAGGGCTTGGCTCAGCTATGGCTGTTATAGACATCTTAAGACCCATTCAAAAAAGAATATTCCATCTTGTTCATCTTCTATTCCTTTACTGGGGCATATGGCCTATTACTTGCTGGGTTGTTCAAACTACTTGCAAGCTCTTAGTAGGGACCCAAGTCAAGAGTTGAGTTAAGCTCTGTACCCCCTCTTGCCAGAGACTGGTAGTCAGGGACAGGCAATGTTCTTCTTGTTAGCTGCCAACCTAAAACAAATGATGGAAGGTGTATCTCCATGATGGGTAAGGTTTGTCTAACTGAAGAAGACAACATAAAGCAGACACAGTCTATCTGAGGGGCCTGAGGGACTCTTTACCTAGTGAGATCTGAGCTTGCTTTATTCAGTAGGGCTGCATAAGGGGGTGGATTGACAACATGTGTGGTTACTAGGTGTTTGGAAGGGTCTGCACATGGCTGTGCAGTGTGCTTTGATCTAGCAAGGGAGAAGTCTTTTGCCCTGCCCCTTGGTATTCTTTTAAAATGCCCTTTAGAAGAGACAGAAGGGGCCAGTGGATTTTGATCCAGGTCCTCCCGAAGCTATCCCGTGTTTCTGTTTCATCTCCACTGTCTTTCTACCTACTAACTTCTTATGCATCTCTTCTCCTCATAGGAACCCTGTAAAAGGTAGGGGTGGGCTCCCCACAGTACATCTTAAAATTGATACTTTGGGAGTAAAGTGGTGATTTGAGCCCACAGTTATACATTGAGAATATCAACTTAAAGCTGAAAAAAAAAAAAAAACGATTAAAAAAAACCAAACTACCACCTCAATAGAAAATATCAGTCACTTTGAAGCATGCGCTGCCCGATGAAAGTATCATCACGATGCTGCCTTTGGTGTAGCAGTGAGATCTTGTACTTCACATAGCTGAGCAGGAAGTGGAGGGCAAACAACAGTTAAAGACCTCAGTGTAGGAAGCAGATTAGAAGCCTGGCACACATCTGCAATAGATAAATGCAGCTTAGATTATTGCATTGCTAATTACCCTGGGTACAGGTCACCAAGGCCTGCAGTTCAGGAATTTGTTCAGCATTCATTAAAAAGCAAAGAAATTATGAGATTAATAAAACAAAAGCTTAGTGTTGGTGAGCACTGAGAAAAGTGTGAGGAATTAGGCAATTGCTTGCTTTGTACCAACCCAGCAAAAGCTAGATTTGAATAATAGATCATATTAGTTATTTTCACACATGCATTTTAAAAGCATATGCTTTCACTAACATTAGCAGCGAAAGCTAAATTCCTGTGTGGTCATGAATGCATCTTAACATATAAGCAAAGGAGAGTTGTGGTAGACTGAGCATGCCTTTGAAACACCGAGGTCTAAATCTCAGATACCAGAGGTAGGAGATTGGCTCACTTTTATAGCTTCCCATTTCAGAGTTCTTAGGAATGTGAGTAATGCCATGCTACTGGCTGGGTGACATGTAAACCACCTGGCAAATGTTTGTCAAACTAACTGACCCAACGAAAATCCCTGAGGATGTGGGTGTTTGTTGTATTTTTAAATATCTGAAAGTCATTTCTCTGATAATAATTTTTTTTTTTTTTTTTTTTTTTTTTTTTTGGTTTTTCGAGACAGGGTTTCTCTGTGTAGCTTTGCGCCTTTCCTGGAACTCACTTGGTAGCCCAGGCTGGCCTCGAACTCACAGAGATCCGCCTGCCTCTGCCTCCCGAGTGCTGGGATTAAAGGCGTGCGCCACCACGCCCGGCTGATAATAATTTTTACTGACTAACAACATGGTGAAGGTAAGCCTAGAGGAACTCCTATCTGGAGAATTCTCCAGCATGCAAGTACATCGTTTACACCTGCAGCCACCTGGCACTCAGGAGCCTTACTTTGCATCCTGACTACAGACAGAGTGGCCTGCTTCAAAGTGAACAAGAAAACTGGAGCTGTTGCTAGTTTTGAAAATAATATTTTGAACCTCAAAATGTGTTAGTCCTCAAAAAAAAAAAAAGTTTTTAAATCAACTTTCCATTCCTGCTAGTACCATATAAAAAACTTTGGAAATGCAGGAACTGGATGGTCAAACTTCTTGCCCACAACAGATTACAAATGAGAGGTTTTTAGAGTACATGTGAACAGTATTTGTTCAGTTTTCCTGAGAAGGGGGTGGGGATAAAAATATGTATAAGATTTTAGAAGTTTCCTGATCTAGTAGGTTTTAAAAACCAGAATATTTTATCCTCAAAACCAAAATATAAAGTTTCCTTTTCAGACACTTGGAATATACCTGCCTGAGGCAAACACCACGGAGTTCTTACTGCCTGAGGTGCATAAAAGGAATCATGGAAGAACCACGGGAAGAAATCCATGAAAGCATGCCTGCTGAGGATCACCTGGTACTGCCCTGTAGCCTGCTGAACACCCCTGGTACTATGCTTCTGGGCTACAGTTTTGAGGATCACCTAGCACTGCCCTGTAGCCTGCTGAGTGTCCCTGGTACTGTGCTCCTGGGCTACAGTTTTGAGGATCACCTGGCACTGCTCTGTAGCCTGCCGAGCGCCCCTGTTGCAGTGGTCCCGGGCTACAGTTGGTTGTACCAGATCTCCTTACATCTTCAGCTGCAGAACAGTTGCCGCCAGCCAGCCTGGGTATGAAGAGGGGTGTGCATCCAATCGCACCACCCACACAGAGGCAACTGAACAGTGGATGCGGCTGAAATACCTGACCATTCTGATAATGGACCCTGTTGAACTCACATCCAACAGCCACAAGATCTGAAAAGAAAAAAGCAGCAGATTGTCAAAATAATAATAATAAAACTATATAGCTTGGCCAGATAGACCTAGTCCAACTATAGCTGTCTCTTATTAATGTAATTCTTAATCCCTTACGCCACTTTGGACTCTCCTTCACAAAGCATCTACAGAAAGGTCAAAGTGGGGTGTTTGTATTTTTGTATAGGCTATAAACCCCAAGTAGTCACTTCTAAAAAACCCAGAAGCTCTGCTTGGAGTGAAGGCAGCTATTAAAATCCTAAGCTTGGCAGGGAGGTGGTTATAAATAAAGGGTTGATGCCTCGGGAGACAAATCTACTCAGATGCACAAACACAGGCCAGAATGTCTCCATAGGCGGTCTGGAGAAACCATGGTTTAGCTGGAGTACTGCAAGGTAACTGGGAATTGGAGGAGACTTTGACTTCCTCCCAGGACTGTCTTCCCTTTCAGGATGAGCAACTTTCCAAATGTGCTCCACCAACCCCTTAGGAATAGCTGGTGTGTTTTCAAAGAATCTGAAAAGTCAAGGCTCTTCAAGACACTGGGATGTAACAGGCTTTGTCACTGATGTGTGACATCAGTGGGACAGTCGGGGACAGTCGGCAATCGCTGGAACCGATTGGGCAGTCCAGGAAGTGGCTGTGCTCAGCCTTTTGGGCACTTGTCCTTAGAAAAATGTAAAACAGCATTCTTTCGATATTTTATTTGTGTTCTAACAAATAAAACTTATCTGGGGATCAAAGAACCAAGCAAGCCACTAAATTAGACATAGAGGCCAGGCAGTGGTGGCACACACCTTTAATCTTATCACTCAGGAGACAGAGATCCATCTGGATCTCTGTGAGTTCAAGGCCACACTGGGAACAGAGGCAGGCAGGGTAGCACACACCTTTAATCCCAGCACATGTCTCATGTCTTTGCTTGGGAAAGACACATGCCTTTAATCCCAGGAAGTGATGGCAGGAAGCAGAAATGTATATAAGGTGTGAGGACCAGGGACTAGAGACATTTTAGAGCAGATCAACTGAGACCCTTAGGGGTGAGGACTCAGAGGCTTTCAGTGAGGATTCATGGAAGCAGGATTGGCTGAGGAGTTGTCGAGGTGAGGATGCCTGTGACTTGTTCTATTCCTCTGGTCTCTCAGTTTTCACCCCAATATCTGGCTCCGGGTTTTTTTTATTTATAAGACCGCTTAGCAATTCAAATTACACATTCTCCTCACTAAAGTTTTCTTTGCTGTCAATCTTTTTTAAGAAAAATACATTATTACTATTAGCTTATATTGGATGTGTTTCATTTAAACAAACTTTAAAATTATAAATCCATTAAATATCAATTGACAAAAACCCACATTAGCAGAAGCTCTAATCCTCAGGGGTTGCTAGGACTATAAAGAAATGCCTGGACTTTAAAACAGAAGTTTGACAATGAATGTTCTACATCAGAAGTCAGCAAATGTTCCATAAAAGACTGAATGGCTTAGTCATTCCAGGCTGCATGGTCTCCACACTGGTTTGCTCTGTGGAGCAGGCATAGACTGTAAACGGCTGAGCTGTGTTTCCATGAGGCACCAGCTACAGGCCAATCTGTGGTCTATGTTTAACCCTGGCAGTAGTTGAGGTCTCAGTTCTAGATCGCCTCCCCCATTTGCTGTTAAAGATCTCATGTTTTATGTGAAACCACCTGTGGGGAGATACATCACAGCTAGACAGAGTACAGCAGAAAGTGAATGCCGCGTCTACATCCTCACATTTTACATCCACAAGTTAGTTTTTACATCCAGACCAAAGTTTCCTCCCTCCCCTCCCAGTGCTCCCCACTCCCATCCACTCCTTCTCCTTCTGAAGAAAAACATCCATGCATTTTTAAAGCGGATTATTTTCTCCTTTCAGGAAAGGCTGAATTCGGATTAATTTTAGACAGTACTAACAAAAGCTATCATTTAAAAAAGTCAGACCCTAGTTACATGATTTTTCCTATATTCTGTCATGAAAAGCTGCTACCTGATCCAGGCTTGGTGGCATACGCCTTTAATCCCAGCACTCAAGGCAGAGGCAGGTGACCCTCTGTGAGTTCTAGGCCAGCTTGGTCTATCTATAACGAGCTCCAGGACAGCCAGGGCTGTGTAGAAAGATCCCATCTCAAAAACAGAACAACAAAACAGCAACCAGAGAACTGCAAGGTAACCATGACAGGCACGTCTATGAATGTCATGTTATCCAGGACAACTGAGGCAGCCCACCGGTGCACAAAAACTGCACCCATCTGAACTAAATTCACACCCTGAATTAACAGTCGGGCAGGGAAATGTGTCTCATTTCAGCCTTTTCCAATGGGCCCAGAAGACACTTACATGCACACACTCCCGTCTCGTACCTAGGCGCATCGGCTGAGTAGTCACAGTACAACCCTTTGTGGGGGTCACAGAGGTCGGCTTCGTTACACACGTCTCCTCGTTGCTTGGCGCAGATTTTGCAGCATCCGCAGCCATCCCTCACCAAGCTCACCCCAGGAGGACAACTGGGCTTCCGAGCAGGACATTTGCAGGGCCAGTGACAAACTTGTTTACGGTGACGCACTTGTGATGCTTCTCCAGCCCCTCCTCCAGGGGTTGGGTCTGGTGACACAGTGTCCTGCGTCCTGCAGCAGAGCTTCATTTGATGATAAAGGTGACGTTAGAAAAGGTTCCTGAGACAACTCTTAGGTCTGTAGGAGATGTGTGCCAAACAGGTGGTGAGCTACAATATTATTAGTATTGACAGTCTGGTGAGTTACAGTATCAGTATTTGATGTGGCCACTCCCTGACTCCTCCCTGGGTTTCTAAGACATCTCTCTTTCCTCTTCCTCCTCTACACCACTCTTCAGTCTCCGAGCTGCTTCGTTTTCATCCTCCTGAGCTCGGCACTGAAGCCTCTTGGTAAGCTCTCTCCTTTCCCCTCACTTCATCTCATCTCCCAACCAGCTCGCTCTTCTGAACTCACTGCTTAACTGCCCCACTTAGATGGTAAATAGCCAGAGCGAACTTTCCATTTTCCTCCAGTCACCTTTTTTCATCTACCCATTTCCCTATTTGAGCAAATGTCCGTTACATTTTTCCAAAATACCTTGTGTATTGGATCATGCTGAACTCACATTTTAGCATCCAATTTCAGTGATAAATCTTGTTGATCATGCCTTTAAAATATATCACTTTTGGGGGCCCACAGAGGCTCCCTAGTAAGGCCTTACTCAAGGTCAGAAAGTCTGACCTTGCTTTGCCCAGCAGGGCTGCATAATAGGATGATTTGGCCAAAGGCATGGGTACCAGGAGTTTTGAAGGGTCTACATTTGCTGGTATTTTATGCCTCAACCTTGGGAGGGGGAGGTCTTTTGCCCTTCTCCTTGCTGATGTATAAAAGGCCCATTACTAATAAAGTCAGGCGACTGGGTATTGACCCAGGGCCCTCCCGAAGCTATCCTATGTCTCTGTCTTTCTCGTCGTCGTCATCTCTGTCTCTGTTTCTATCTAACACTTCCTCATCCCTCTCTCCTCCCCCAGGAGCCCTTCAACAGGTTGGAGCTGGACTCCGACAATCACCACCATTACCCACTGGCCTCCAAATCCTCACTCCTACTACAGTGACCCAATCCACTATTAGTTTTCACTTGGATGATTAGAAAAGCCACCTATACAGTCACCTTTATTCAGCAGCCACAATGACTTTTTAATAAGTCAGTTCATGCCACTCTGTGTTCACAGGGCATGAGTCCCCTGTGCTTCCAGGGGAAACCCTTTCCCCTGGGTTCGTTACACCCAACCATCCCCGATCTCCTGGCCTGTTAGCCTGTGCTGGACTGTACCTTAGACACTTGGCTGTCGCGTTGCTCACTTCTCAGTACTACCACCTCTCAGTCTCATTCCCCATCCCATCTTCGGTTTTCTCCCTAGGTTATGCGCCTTCAAAACCGAATTCCTGGCAGAGACTTCCCCACTGGCCGAGAGGCCCACACAGCTGACTACCCAATGGGCACGGACACCCAAATGTCCTCTAGGAAAAACGGGTTCAAAGCTCATCTTTCACCCAGACAATACTTGGAGTCATCCAGGCCAAGCTCCTCTCCCCCACACCATAGCCATGCCATGGCTAATCCTGCTTGCTGTGTTGTCCTCATGTTCTAAGGTCTGTTCTTTCTTATTTCACAGATACTAAATGCCATACTATATGATTGTATTCCTCCTTAAAGTCCCCCAGTGGCCCCCATGTCTGCTGCTCACAGTGCAAACTTCTGAGCATGGGACCTTCAAGTCTGTCCCAGCCATGCCTATCTCAACGGTCTCCTTCTCTGCCCTGCTGTTTATGAGATGCCATATTCTCGTCCCTGCTTCTTCTGCTGCTCCCTGTTATGCTTTGAATTTGGAAATGCCAACCACGGACTGTTTTGAAAACTTGGCCCTCAGCTTGTGATGCTGTTTTTGGAGGTTCTGAAAAATTTGGGAGGTGGGAAGGTCTAGCTGGAGAAAATATGGCGCTGGAGAGTATGGGCATATTCATCCCTTTACCCCTGCCTGCTTCCCATCTGGCTTCCTGCTTCTTGGTCCGCTGTAATGTGAGCAGCCTCTTCCATCATGCTATGAACTGCTTTACCACCATGAAGGGCAGAGCCCCCTGAAACCGTGAGCCAAATTGTTTCCATCAGGCGTTTTGGCCACAGCAAAGCAAAGGTGACGAATACACTCCCTCCTGTAATGTCCACTCTCCAAACTGTCCACCTGGAAATTTTTATTTTCCCAGTCTTGAAATATTTTTAGACCATCCCAGAAATTAAAGAGTAACACAGGGGAAATCCATGAATAAAAGAGAAATTCACGCTAGTAGCCCGAGAAGAGGGAAATGCTACATACAGGAGAACAGAGCTGACTCAGCGGAAGAGGTAAGAGGGAGGGGTAAAGGTGCCCAGAGAAGATGCTAGAAGAAAGAAAAAAGAAAAAAAAAACCCAAACAGTCAACCTAGAATTCTGTGTCCAGTGAAACCAGCATAAACGAAAGCAAACGGACCTGAGGAGATGGTTCAATGGGCAGTTTTTACTGCAAACATGAGGACAGGAATTCAGAACCCGTATAAACCAGATGTGATGCAAGTGTGCATCTGGACTCCCAGCATGCCAGATGGGGGAGCTAACAGGACAGCCCCAGAAGCGATGGGCCACCTGACCTGTCTGAAGCATCAGTAAACAGGAAAACTATCTCAACCAAGGTGGAGGGTGAGGACAGATACCCAAAGTGACATACACACAAACATGCGCAAAGATATTTTTTAGTGAATGTGGAATAAAAATTTCCAGATAAACAAAAACTGTTTTGTTGGTTGATTGGTTTGTTGTGTTTCTGGCTTAGGTTTTTTTGGGGGGTGGGGGGAATTTGTTTTTGTTTTTTGTTTTTCTTAGCAGACTCACCTCACCAAAAAAAAAAAAAACAAGGAAATTATATTAGATGGTAATACAAAAGTACAAAAAGTAGGACTCACATGCAAAGAAAATATGTTGAGACTGTAAGGAATTTCACATATTTTTTTTCTTTTCAGACATTTTGTTTCAAAAACAAAGTCTTAAAACCACAAGAATGATGCAAGAGAAAGTTCTACAAACAGATCTGAGCTTTGGGATAGATCTGTGATCTTAAATAATTTCCTATTATTAGTATCAAGCCTCTGTGAAATGGGATTAATACACACTTGGTTCAGTTGTTCTGAGTCAAGGTGATTAAGATATTGACTAGCAAAGTGCCTGGCATCAAACCCTTGGTTATGTTTGGAAGTGTGCCTTAGAAAAGCTCGGTCTAGGGGTAGACCTGGGAGAATCAGTCCCCAGGCTTGCTGACAGCCAGTGTAGAAACTATAAAAGTGCCAGTTTCAGTGAGAAACCCTGCCTCAAAAATAAATAAATAAATAAGGTGGCTGGGTGGTGGTGGCACATGCCTTTAATCCTAGCACTTAAGAGGCAGAAGCATGCAGATCTCTGTGAGTTCGAGGCCAGCCTGGGATACAGAGGGAGATCCAGGGCAGACTCCAAAACTACACAGAGAAAACCTGTCTCAAAAAAAAAATAAAATAAAATAAAATAATAAAAAAAAAAATAAGGTGACAGAGACAGGCACTCAATGCTGAACTCTGACCACCATACAGACACACAGACATGAACACTTATACACATGGGCACACATGTTTGCCACAGGTACACACACAACAAGCCTGGTCGCCATTGTTCAGAATGTATCTCGAGTATGCTGACCTGGTCCATGGATCCACACATTCGTGGATTTTCAGGTGGTACCTTATTGAAGTACAACATTGGGGGTGTGTCATTACAGCTTTTCCCTGCCTCTTCCTCTGACTTCTCCCTCTGCTTCTGACGTAAGCTGTCTCCTCTGTCACATACTTCTGCTACCACGTTGTGTCTCCTCAGAGGCTGAAATGAGCCAGCCAACAACCATGGACTAAAACCTCTGACCCTGCGAGCCAAAGTCAACCTTCCCTTCCCTTGGTTGTTTTTCTTAGGTTTTTTTATGCCAGTGACCAAGAGGAGGAAAAAAATTAGTAACGCAAAAATAAGCACAAAGTGATAGTTTCTGGTCTAAGCCCAATATCTTTTTGTGTCTGCACTTGTGTTCTATTCTGCACACAGCTCTCTGTGCTGGAATATTTACTGTTTAAGAACGCGTCCTAGCCCTCAGTGGACAATAACCACCTGCCTCCTCTCAGAATCTAGAACAGGAGAGCTGGTTCCACAGCGGCTGAAGAGATGTGTTCCCACTGTGAGAACGGGAAGAACCCCACCCCGACATCCTCCTAGGCATCCCTTTGAAACCTTAACATCCTTCAACAGAGTAACAGCTTCCCCTGTAAGCTGAACTACCTCTGCTGCCCAGGCCAGAATCCGCTCTTAACTCCTCATCCGTGCATGTTTTCTAAGTGACCGGAAGAGGTCAGAGCTCAGTCCTCCGTGCCAGCAGTGACCTTCACCATGTAAATAAATCAATAAATAAGTCGCCCTGCTTTAATTGTCTCAATTAAAAACACTAAAACACTGAATTGCTCATATTAAATTAAACTTCCTTTGATCTGCCCTCTGAAATAGCTGAAGTTTCCATGGACAGTCACTCACAAAAAATGAGAGCCCCGAGGCTTGAGAAAAGACAAAGTAATAGTACATTTTTAAAAACTAAATGTTCCTTGCTAAATGCCCCTTTCAAACAAGGACAGGCTTAGCTGGAAAAAAAAAATCATTGCACAAAACTGTTTTTCCAGGGGCTCTTTGCACACTGCAATCTGTGGAAAGATGATCCTGTGCCTCTACCCTGCATTAAGGGACAGTGTTTAGGGCTGTGGCCGCCAGCATTACCCATCCGAGAGCTACGGCTGGACACTGTAAATAGATACAAGGTAAGGTCTGTAAGTAGATACAAGGTAACGTTTGTGGACGGTTCACACATCGCAAGCAAACTTCGGAGGGTATAGCTCAAAGGGGGAAATGTCAAGCATCGTTCACAAAGCTCTTAAGCTAAATTAAACAGAACTTTCTGGAAAAGAAAATGGCTCCCCATTTCTCACGAAATAATTACCCGCATCTTTCCCCATTCCCATCTTGCTGTTTTACTTTGGGTCTGAAGAAGTACAGCCGAAGCCTGGGCGTAAAACAAAGACTTACCTGTGCTAGTCCAGTAATGAGCAGAGTGCAAAAGAGGAGGCCGCGCATGATCCCGGAACGTGGGAGGATGGAGAGATGGAGGAGCACTGGCCAGTCCTTGCTTAGGGCACAAAGCTCCCCTGTGTCAGGGAACCAAGTCTCCACCTCCCGGGCTTCCGACTCCCAGGCTGCACTTTCCCTCTGAGGATCCATTCCTGTGCCCTGCTTACTCCATGTGACTTCTAGCAGTACTTCAGTGTGCACAGTTCGTCACGAGAGCCCAGCACCTTCCTGCAGATCAACTCTGTAAAATCAAGCGGAGGCTTCTCTCTGAGGGAGGGCTGGCGCTCTGTTCTTGAGGTCTGAGCTTGTCTTCCAGGAGGTGGGTGGCCTTAGACATCTTCCCTCCCTGTCCTCGGTCTCTGTCTGTGATTCCTCTGCTGGGTGCTGGTATGGTCCCTCCCCTTTAGGTACCACCTGAGTTTCGTGTTCTAGAAAGCCTTTCCTGAGCGGGGAGCCCCCACCTCACCGTCTCTGAGCTCACCCCACCCCTGTCCTCTACTCCAACACATACCTCACCCCTGGGAACCGGTAACCAGTACACCTAGATGGGTGTGGGTGGACCCCCATAGTGCATTGCCTAGGCTAGGCCCCTTTCTGCGGTCACAGTTCCGTGGGAGATGACAGAGAAGTCAGCCCCAGATTTTTCCCAGGCTAGGGCCAAACATTCACATTCATAGAAAATAGTAGGATTTTTAAAACTTACCAAGCTCTACAAGATACACATTAATATGTACAACTTTATGTTTGTATGTATCAGTTAAAACAACCTTTAAAAAAAAATCTAAAAAGTTAAGTTTTTATGAATTTGTACTCTTTCTCTCCACCTATCCTTCCCCACATGTGGTCACCAGCCTGTCCCCTCTTGTCCCTAGGACCTCTGTGTACCCTTCTTGCCCTTCCTTCTTTCTCTACCAGAGCCTTGCTTTCTTGAGGACCCAGCAGTCAAAACACCTTCCCATGCCTGTTCATCCTGGCCTGTTCCCTAGCCTACTCCTGGTGTCCCTCTTATCCTGAGCTTCATTGCTCACCACTTATCCTGAGCTCATGGCTCACCTCTTTGAGCATGAAAGTAGCACATAAGTAAGGCCTCCCATGGTGAGCGCTGGAAGTCTGATGTTCCCACGGAGCCGGGAGTGCTACACAAATCAGCGTGTACACAAACACAAACAGCCCACAGCTATCTATCTGTCTGCTATCTATCTATCTATCTATCTATCTATCTATCTATCTATCTATCTATCATCTATCTATCATCTATCTATCATCTATCATCTCTCTCTCTCTCTCTCTCTATATATATATATATATATATACAGACTGGACCACCCAGATGACACCCCATGCTGCGGCAGCTCTGAGGCCTCCGATCAGTTACTTTTCTCTTCACTTTGATAAAAGGCCTGAGAAAAATGACTTAAGGAAGAAGAGCTTCCATGCAATCCATCAAGGCACGGAAGTCAGGCAGGAGCGTGGGGCAGCAGTTCACATTTCAGTCACAATCAGGAAGTAGAGACGAAAGGCAGAACTCATTTTGCTTCCTCCCTTTTATCCAGCCCAGGTCGCCAGTCCATACCTGTGTTCAGGATGGGTCTTCCCACCTCAGCTAGTCTTTTCTAAAAAACACCCCTATGGATCCAAGGAAGGACATTCCTTAACTGATTCCCAGAGCCTGTCAAGTTGATGGTCAAGACTGAGCATCACTGGGGTGTAGCTGGGGTTTTCTCCAGTCCCGCCCTGGCCCACAGCCACTCAGACCCAAGTAAACACACAGAGACTTATATTACTTATAAACTGTATGGCAGTGGCAGGCTTCTTGCTATCTAGTTCTTATATCTTAAATGAACCCACTTCTATTCATCTATAAGTTGCCAAGTGGCTTGTGACTTACCAGTACTTTTACGTCTTGCTTCCTCTGTGTCTGGCTGGCGACTCCTGACTCAGCCTTCCTGTTCCCAGAATTCTCCTCTCTCTTTGTCCTGCCTATACTTCTTGCCTGGCTACTGGCCAATCAGCACTTTATTTATTAACCAATCAGAGCAACATATTCACAGCATACAGAGCAATATCCACAGCATGGGGGGGTATCCTGCTCCTTGAGAATTAAGGCAAAACCCTGGAGTGGTTCAGTGAAGGAAACTGTGTCTGCTTTTGGTCCAGTCTGCTCTTCCTCTTTTTATTTTCCTGGTTTGGTTATCATTTGGCATTTGGATCCCCAGGCACAGTGATTCTTGCCCCTCACTGGCCATCAGATTTGATAAGTTCTTGGTCCCTGGCTCATCAACTCCATCTCTCTGCCTCCAACTCTCTCTGTTTCAGATGGGAAGTTCCAAGTATCTGCAGCACTCGGACTTTCAGAGATTCCTGCTCCTCCCATTTGCTCTCTGTGAAAAGCTTGCAGCAGCAGCCATTTTTCTGGAAATTTCTTCCTTCACTCTACATTCTTACATTCGTGAGACAGGGAGGATGTCATATTGTCTGTCCATCCTTGCTCTCAGTAGGAAAGGAAGAACTAGCTAGCAAAACCTCACCCAAGTAAGAGACTCCTCAGCTCTGGGTTACTCCCTGCCACCCACTTAAGAGACTCCATCAGCTCTGGGTTACTCCCTGTCACCCACTTAAGAGACTCCATCAGCTCTGGG